CTCCAGTAAAACCAGAATATTTTTTTTCTTATTGTTAAAAGGATAGAACGGCCGTAAACCCGACGCTTTAAATGCAGCTGGAGTCCCCAAGATCCATTTCAAGTTTCAGTCTTTTCATGGACAGGTCTGAAGAAGTCCCGTTGAGCAGAAAAATTTCAGGCGATCATACATAAGTACTTTTAAGATCTACAATAATTAGTTACTTTACTTCAAACAGCACTGCAGTTCTCTTAAATGAGGTTCAAGTTGTCGGAACAAAGAGTCTGGAAAACTATTCACAAATGCATAAATTGAAGAACATCTAAAGTGAATGAGGGAAAAAATCTAAAACATAAAGCGAATGTAAATGGGAACGGACGAACTGACAATACTAATAAATGAAAAACAGCTGTACAATAAATAACAATGTGAGTCCTACAAACAAAGTATCTCTCAATTAAGGAGCTTTTATCCTAACGTCTCGAATTTGTCATATACTTTTCAGATACCGAAAATAAATTAATCTTTTGTGCTAATAACATTTTTTTTCTCATGGACCCGTTTTGGCTACATGATAGATGCAAATACTTATAAATAACAGATAGGTGCTTAAACTTCACGATGAAGAAGGCCATTATCTTGGCTACTGTTTTGATAGCGCTGATATATTTTATGGGATATTCCATGTAACCATTAATTTTACTTATATTAGAAGCCAAGCTCATTTTTCAGCTTTTGGGGGTTATTTAATAATATTGCACATTTATCTGAGAGCAACAAAATGCAACTATACACTGTGCCTTATATGGGAATAAAAAAGAGGAGTAAACCACACATATTGGAATCTAAATAACATTTAAATTTGCTTAATGATTTAGGAAATATATATGTAAAGTTGTATTTTCTAGATAATTTAACAAATTATTTGCCCAATAGGCAATGTTTGAATAACATTCACACAGTTTTGCAAGTTCTGCAAAAGCATTTGTTAATGTTAGAAAAATTTGGGAAAATATGTTTTAGCAAATATCAGTCTTAAAGGGACTAACAAAGTGCATCTAAATTATCACCATTCATCTGATGGTATTACCTCGGGGTATATAGGCTGAACAGGAAATTAGTTTCTGATACAAACTGAAAAATATATCGATAACCAAAAAAAATACTTGGAAACAGCTTTGTATCAATGTATTTTTAACTTAAATTCTACTTTTAACTAATTCAGATTTGAGATTGTTTTCAATTTGAAGTTTTGAAGGTCACAATTTAAAAACTAACCACAAAAATGCTATAAGGGTGGTATATTTTCCACTAGCTCTTGATCTGATTGCATGATTGCCGCTGTGCTTTAAAAAATAATAGAAACAACTTAGTTCAACCAGAATTTTTTAAACTAATCTGTCTGTCAAATGGTCATGGAAAAATGTGAATACTGCGCTTAATATCAGAGTTGACGATGCATCTAAAGTAGCTAATATTATCGAGAAATTATTTTTTTATTTAAATTTCAAATTATTGTAATGGATGTGTGAATGATTCCAATTTTGATTGATAATGTTTTATTGCAAAAAATCAGGTAAAACGATATGTTAGCGTATGGAAAAGCTTCTGAAGTGATTAGAAGTAACGGGAATATTTCAAAACTGAAATTGACAAACGTGAAAACATTCCGAAAAGAATAGCTATTATGCAATAGAAAATATATATTTTTGAAAATACCCAGAATAATTTAAAAGGTGAATTTCGCGAATCGACCTTACTTATTACAGGAATTAATAATTAATTAATTAGAAAGTACATTAAGAGGATAGTAGCTTTCATGTTCAGGGCCATTAAGAAACTTCTCGATTATAGTCCCAGCTTCTGATGCTTCAACACCTAAACTATTATATCATGACAAATAAATCGACATATATGATAAATACGAAAACTATGTTGTAAATATGTGGATCCTGCTGTTGCAAATGGCGATATTTCATGGTGATCTAGTTGGGATAAGAATCCCCCTGATTAACTAAAATGTTTCCAGTACACGTCTAGATCTTTTCAAGATGCTGAATATGTTCTGACAAAATTTTAACTTAGTGTGAATATAAACAGGTTTGAGGAGAGATGTCTTAGATTTGCATCAAGCTTGAGCGCCTTCGTTGATACGAATTAGGGAACCATAATTGTGATTTTATGGTATGTTTTGTTTAGTAGCCATTATGAATCACACTATATGGAAAATATAATGCAACTACTGCTAATAAACTTAACGTTCAAATGATCAAGTTGATTCAAAGGAACGGATTTTTTCCTTGTTAGATTTTCCCTAGAAGCTAAATATACAAATAGTTTTTGTATGTGCGATTAATTCCATGACTTTACATCACAAATATATTTGATGATTTTTATTGACTCAACCAAAAATTTCCAAAATTTTTCACTTAATTATTAGTACCAAGAATACCATTCGACATATAAAGACATAAAAAGTAAGATCTGCAATACCAATTATGACTCCATTTTGCTACAAAATTAATGAGCTGTGGCGGTGTGCCACTTATGAGCGATACTCACTTGGCTTGTGATCTAACGACTTAGTGTGGTTCTAAATAACAAAGCATTGTTGACGATGGTGTTGTTCCAGCTTTTCATGTCAAGTTCAAAGAGTATTGGAGTCCATTAGTTTGCGCGAAAACATATGATGGTCATTAGTTAGTTATTTGGACTTTACTTGCAGACTTCTGACTAAAATGTTGTTCTGTTATGCACGAAATACTCCGGTGTATACAATTTTCAAAATTGCGAATTTACAATTTTTACAATGGCGTTTATGTTATTTGCACAAATATTCGCACTTCAGATGCTTTATTTTTACGGAGAAATACACTAAGAAATTGTCAAAAGGGCATGAATCAATTACTACCTCATACGTTTCATTAAAATGTTAGCAAGGATATCGATATATACTAGGTGTCCCTTAGTCACATGATTTACGGCGACATTCTTTGGTTCAGAAAAAGATGTGATCTAACCTTTATCGGATGGCCAAAGTTCTTCCAAAACAATCTGTTTTTTGAAATAGCGGGTGAATAATACGATGGCATTTAATGAAACTCACTAAGAATTTGATATAGGTAACAATCATATTTTGAAAAAGCAACCGAGTTCTTTCGCTTTAGGCAAGTGTTGAACTGTTGAGTGCCTTGGTACAAAAACTGCTAGAACTTTTCAGGAGGTCGCTGGAATCAATTGATTTTTTTTCAGTTGATGTATGACGCAAAAAATTATTTCCGTATTATTGCCACAATTAACAATTTTAGACATAAAATTAATTTCTTTTAATAATAAAACTTACATTCTATATTTATAATATTCCGATGTTATACATTTTTTGCGAGATTTTGACGGTCTTGCTCATTTTATAATTAGAAAACTTTAAAAAACTTATTTATTTTAGAAGAACGGAATGCAATTTGTAGTTAATAACTGAAATAATTAAATAGCACCTAATAACCGAAATTGTCAAAAGTTTACAAATATGACGAAAATGGCAAAAAAGGATCACTGCATAAACTCCAAAAATAAGTTGATTCCAGCCAGCAAATAAAAAGTTATGGTAGTTTTTGCGCCCACACTCCAGAATTTATTACCTGCCTATAGCGGATTAACTCGGATGCTTAATCAAAATATGGGCCTTATACTAAAACAAATTCACAGCGCATTTAATTAGAGTCCATCGTAGCATTCTACCGATATTTGGAAAAACATAATCTTATTAAAGAACTTGGACCAAGATTAACAGAGGGGCCAGACATTTTTTCTTAGCAAAAGTACGTAAATCAATTACTGAGAGCTCGAGTCACATTTGAGTGTTATTGTTGGCTGATTTAACTATTAATAGAGAATCTCGAGTTAGAACATTATAATAGGTGAACTCAATTACTGGTAGATCTTTTTGTTGAAATTGAATCTGAAGCATCGTGTTGCTCTGTAAGTAATTATCTGTAATGTAGTAGCTCTGTAGTAATTTCTGGTTTGAATAAGAGCGTGCTCATGTTACGATTTTTAAAAGAACTGTTAACTTGAGTAATAGAATAACTCTTTTAAGATTTCATTATTTAAGAAAGAAAGAAAAGTTAAAAATTGTTCAGAATCCTGATTGAATGATTCATTCACATTACTTTACTCTTCGACCTGTACTACCTTCCATACCTTACCTTCTACTCTTTCTGCTCTATGTATCTAAATATTCTTTAATGGCGACATTTTATATATTATCCTGGTTGTTCGCTTTCGATAACAAAAGAAATTTATGCTTTTGAGTTGTATGTCCAAAAAATTATACCGCACTTCGCACTACCAGCAAAATTTGCAAAATGCGGTATTCCACATGCTGTCTCATTTGGGCGAATAGAGAAGCAAACGCTATTGGCTAAAAATTTTTAATATTTAATCTCTTAAAACAACTTAGAATTGGCACTGTTCCATTAGGGAGACTATTAACTAGAACGAAAACACTTTGAAACAAAATAATGGTTACCAATACAGGGGGATTCAAAATTGGCGCAATTCCTTTTAAGGGATTATAGGAGCTCACTTGGCGTTAAGTTAATTTCTAGAAGATATTAACATTACAAAATCGAATTTCAACTTATTATTAAGTATCATTTTGAAATGGTCTCATGTTTGATTGGTTGCTTACTCTTCTACAATTTCTTAATGAAAATTCAAAGGGGCAACTATGGTTTTTGCCATTATTTGGAAGTTACAGTTTTGTGCACTACACAATTAAACTTTAGATTGGGAGCTGTACGATAAATTCGTTTTTATTATCCTTATCACTATTCACACCCAAACACACATAGAAGTGATATTTATTATTCACATTCTACTATTTAAGCAAACTTAATTACATTTGCTGCTAATGTTTGACTTGTACTTTGCTACTATGTGTTAAGCCTTCAATTGAAACCTAATTTATGACACTATTATCATTTGTTAAATAATCCGTTTGAATTATGACTCGGAAAGTCATTTCCCACAGCTCCATCACAGAATTGATAAGATAGCGATGGCTTCCATCAAAGCAAAAGTGTATTCTCTTCGACACAATGCCAATAATTACTTGTGATTGTACTGGAAATGGAACGTGTTGTAGTGTGTGCAAATTAAATGTTGTTGGATATGTTACAGGGTGGCTAGGAGTTGTAAGTAAATATCTGTACATACTATTACCCAATGTAGAAACAGTTGTAGCAACATATCAATATATAGATATAAAAGTTGAAAGGGTGAATTACACTGAAGTTAAGCGAAGCCTGAATTTATTACTAACTTTAGTAGAATAGTTTGCGAGTTAAAAACGCGCTTATATCAAAAATGCTCAATTATACAAGCTGGAACGGAAAAGTTGCAGCTCAGAAAAACAACGCTTCCTCGATTAAAACACCCCATATTTTATTTTATTTTTTGTTATATAAGTTACGAACAAAAATTACGTATTTTTTAGTTATTCGGAAAATCTCTCGGTCATCTTTAGATACAAAATGTTAAAAATTTGCAGGAGAAAGGATTCAGTTAATATTTGGTTTGCTACATTTTTGTATTTGCAAACTTAAAAATATTCGCTTTTAAAATGAGAAACTTCGTGTTTCGTCCCTATTCCCTATTCAAGATAAGAAAACCTTTAATTTTAGCTAAATACTCTGTGCTCCCTAAATTGGTTTTCTTAATTCGGCTTAATCCCAAATTTAAGAGCGAGCGGAGAATGTATACAACTTTACGGACATCTCGATTTTATGCGATATCATGGAAGCGGCTAAATATCTCTGATTAACCACAAGGAATATTTCGATGGAACATCTTAGAAAATGTATTTTTTCTGAACCTTAAAAAGACTGTAAAAAAACTGTAACAAGGTCTCAAAGTTTCAAACCTTCAATCGGGAAAATGGTGAAAAATATTGAAGTAATAATTTTAACGTTTTCGATAGCACGTTTTCAGAACCGTCTTGCTATAAAATGTTGTCTGGATACATTTAAATCCATATGGAAAATCTAACACTTAAAAAGTTAATCAAGGGTATAACACATTTTTAAGTGCGCTTGAAGTTTATCACTTATCTAATAAACCGTTAAAAATATATCAATAGGAAGTAAATCCTTTTCGGTAGATCGCCCGGAAAATAACAAGTTCCCAAGTTCTGTTGTTATTATGAACCTGTTTCTTATTAAACGGACTAAAATAGATCAACAATTCACCTGGAATGCAAAAACCAAAATGGAAAGCCACTCCATAAAATTCTCAAATTTGCACATAAGAAAGCTGCATAAATTCCATCAAAGAAAAGCTACAACCCTGGTTGCCATCTACCACAAGGCGCTATCCGCTAAACCACCACAAAGTAATAAATAAAATTCATATACCTTTAGGCACGTTAGTCTGGATTCTGGGGTATTATCAATTTTAAAATCAGCAAAAATTTAAATTTACAACAGAAAAACACTACTAAAATAGACAATTAAAATGGTATTCGCAGCAGAATACTCCTATTTTACTTGACATGAATTACCCTTACCAACGAAATCGTTGGAGCACGGAACAAAAAAAGTTAAGTTTTGTAAATCTAAGAGGATTGACCCTTTAGGAATACAAGAACTCTTTAGGTTCAACTGTAATTGATAACATAAAAACACCAATAATTGATGAAAATATCTTGCACGAGAATAAATGTGCAGTTCTCAGAAGAACGATATTCATATAAAAATGCGACTAAGGTTCAAAATCTGACTAAATTTGTTTTATCAAAACAAAATGAAAAATTTCAAAAACCCAATACAGAATCCAAAAACTCCCTCGTCGTTCCTCGTCGAACAAATATTAAATGCAACAATATAATAAAATACAAGTCAATAATATGAGACTAAAAGTTCGACAACTATATGGCAACCAGGGGAAAAGTAATGCCAAACTTACCGAAAGCTGTATCGTGCCACCTGGAAATAAAAAAAGTAAATGTGTTTAGTAGGGCAGAAAAAAGACGAATTTAAAAGAATCTATAACTCCTCATTTGCGTATCGAAAAGCTACTCAGTTCAAACTAAATGATTTATAAATTAGAAATCATTCTTACCAGCTTTCTGCAAGCTGGCTCCCATGCTCCATTTTCTATTCATTAAGCCTCAGAAATAATACCCTACACTTGATCACACAACGAAAATTAATTTCGAATTATAAATTTTCTTTAAGGGTCACAATGATTCTATATTTTCCATCTAAGAACGCGATTCGCACGACACAAAAGTCCGTAGGAACCGAACTCCAGAACCAACATGATGATATAACCATTTACCTGTACGCCCTTTGGATGAATCATTGATTTGTTTACTTTCCAGTTCGATTTCACTCTTTTTACTTTTAACTATTTTGCAGAAAAAGCCGTTTTACACGGCAATATTTACAGACAAGTTTCACGTTTAAACTAGGGCTCGGAATTTTTAAAAATCTGAAATTCGAATATTTGATTACTGGTTTATTCGAATACTCGAATATCTAACGAATATTCGAATATTTGAATATTTGAATATTCGAATATTGGAGTTTTCGAATATCCGAGTATTCAAATATTCGAGTATTTGAATACTAGAGTATTCGAATATTCGACAATTCGTTAGATATTCGAGTGTTCGTTTTCCGTTCACCGTTTTCCAAGAAGAAAAATCGTTATCATATCATTTTTGGCAACTACCCGGAACGGATAAAAAAGTGCCTTTGTCGGCACATTAATTGTAACACCGCGCAAAAGTTGATGAGGCGAATCACCAGAACACAGAAACGTAATTTTATATTCATTTGCAGGAGAGTAAATATGATTATTTTCATTTGCTTGTAAATATATGAGAATTTGTTTAAATGCTTGTAGAATATGAATCATTTATTTTATGAAAGTATACAAAGTGCGTATAAAGATATTTGCACCTTGTGAGTTTGATAATGTTGGTGTATTCGAGTATTCGATTATTCGACTATTCGAGTATTCGAGTATTCGAATATTCGGATATTCGAATATTCGAATATTTGAATATTTGAATTTGAATATACTTTCTCATTTCAATTATCTTGCTAGTTTTTATACAGAGTGGTCCTCAACTAATGTGACAAAATCTACTGGCATATAGTCGAGGCAAAAATATTGCGTTCTAGGCAAATTTGTCTTCTCCTAAAGTTAACAATTTTCGAGATACACGGTGTCAACGTGTAAATAAAATTTTCGTTTATTTTTAATAAATTCCTAACCAGTTTTATTATGACTACAAAAGTTGTTTTTGGGAGTTTTTCAATCGCGAAATTGTTATATACACATTGACATCCTGTATCTAAGAAACTATTCTTCCATTCTAACTTTCAGATTAGACAAATTTGCCTGAAACGCAATATTTTTGCCTAAAAGATATGTCAGTGGTTTTTGGCACCTTAGTGGAGCGCCACCCTGTATATGTGCATACAGCTTCCACCGCGTTCTACAAACATTTGCAAATTTTTTTAAATTTAACTTGTGAATTGTTAAAAATGTTTGTCGTTCTTCGGTAGGCAATAGTTAAGTCTGCCTTGAAATCCGCAACCAACGTTTGCCAACATTTAAGAAAAAACTCGTTTGAATTTTTGTGACATACAGTCCTTCAGATCTTGCAAACTTTTATGTAGAACGCTGCAAAGAACGTTTTACAAATTTACAAATGAGCCCATCAACGGGTCTAGTTGAGTCAGACCTGTAAATCTTGCAGGACATTTTATTGCACGTATTCCACTAACTTATTTGCCCGAATATCGCTTATTAAACCACACTGACTACTATTGATGGTACACTCTATGATAAGTTGTTATTTCAAATTTTTCAGAAAATAAAAGTACGGCTGTCCAGTTATTTCTTAAATTTTGGTACAGTCAACTTTTGAGCAGGAATTTCGGAAACTAACATTCGTCGCAGATTTGTAGAAGACAAGTTAACTCTCATCGATCGATCGTTAGAAAATCAAATGGGGGAAAAAAATATTTACTGTTTGATCAATAAAGTCTTTATTTCCAGCCGAATTCCAGTTAGACAGTAGATTAATTAATCAACGGTCATCAAAGAACGATCAGCAACGTTTCCAGATCTAACTGATCCAGACTATGTCCGTACGTTGAACTGAAAAAAGTTTTCAAAACCAGAATGGAAGAAGAATCAAATAAATATAACAAGGCAGCGACTCATTTTCTTTGAAATTTTACAACTTAATTTAAGACAGACTTTAGACCTATTGCCTAGCTGAGAACGGCCAAAATTTTCAATAATTTATTAGATGAAAGCATCGAATTAATAAATTACCATGATGATCGTTAAATCGATGTAGATGTCTTGACGTCTTGAAGAAGAATGAGACATTTTTGCTTCTAAATCCCGGGAGGATTAACCGATTTTACTTTTTCGTGTCGTCAGTGGATAGAGAATTTAATCTGGGGTACTATTTAAAATTTTGAAGTCGTGGTCGTTTGAAGACTTAGAGGTCACCGTTAGAATTTCAATGAAATTTGTCGTAAAAGTGCCTCCTACGGAGGAGCCACTTAGATAAAGATCTAAATCATGGTATTTTTTGTATTTTGAAAACCCAATCGTTTAGTTTAAGTTTGTATGTTGGTATTAGAGTTGCAAGATTTATAGCAGCCCACTAATTATAACAAACATTTTCGATTGGCGGGATTTTAAAGTAGTTAAACCCTCCATTTATAGGAAAAAAAACGGAAAGAAAAAGCAATCAATTGATAATTGATTAAAACTTTAATAATAGTTATACATATACAAAATAAATACACATGAATTTTTTACTTGTGGTTTTCTCAACAAAACCTTTCAGTATATCTAATTTGAACTTTTTATTGTTCATTTGAATTAGTTTTCTAGAACTTCACAGTATCTTTTGTCTTGGGGTATGTAAACTAATACAAACCATTTATTTTTGAAAATGCATTAATTTCTATTTCAGATATGGCGAATAGTCCTAGTCGCTTTTCTCTCTACGACTCTATCTAACATTACGGAATATGACCCAAGTTTATACTCAATACTTTTAGCAACGTGTTTATGCTATGTTTTAACTTCATTGGTGGTCAATAGTGTATTTATTTATGGAGTTTATAAGGTATGTAAGAGCATTTAAATGTACAATAGCTTTATTAATATTGCCATAATTTATAATATCCAAATAGATATCAAGCTTCAAGCTAACAATTAAAGAAACAGTGATTGTGATTTTCTAAAATAAGTTTGCCTCTAATTATTAATTAATTACTATAATCTAGTAATTGTGGATTGAGTATTGGAAAAGGGTTAAAAAAGCCATGACGTGTTTGTTTCAAGAGCTCTTGAATATAGGTTCATTCTTAACCTTGCTATTAAGCAATATTTTAAAGTAGTTCAATAATAATTTTACAAACCTATAGTATAGCGAAATGTTTCAAATAAAACATACCAAAATTAACTTAATCTGCACAATATTTTCATTTGTAAAAATTACGATTATGAAAAGTGATTTAAAAAATTCCAGCGACAACCATGTAACAAGTGCAGGGTTATTGATTGGACATTGGCCACTCCGTTTTTACATTTATAGTATTTAGCAACAGTTTTCATTACCATGTCATGACAAAATTTGTTGATATGAAAAAGTCTGTATATATGCATTAATATTTGTCAGAAATATTGATAAATATTTTTTTTGCGAAAACGTTTGTTCTGTTCCAAGCATCTGACTAAACCGCTATAGACAATTTTGCAATTTTGGGTACACTTAATACCGTATAGTTGCAACAATTTACCTTTTTTTTCTTTCAGAAAAAAAGACACTTTATGTTGCCATATATAACGCTTGCTGCTTTCGAGTTGATCATTGGTGTCATTATTTTATCAGGAATAATAATGGTATTATTTGCTGTAAGTGCTGTTCTATTTGCAGTTTATACTATTTGCTTTGCCGTGCTGATTATAGGTAAGCTATTATAAAAAGAAATATTTTAAAAATATCCGCCCAACATTAATCTAATCTATATTTAGCTATTACTGTCCATAAATGATGAAAGGCCATTAAGGGCAAATAAATATCGACATAAATCGACTAAAGAAAGAGGATCGAGGATTTTAAGATACGCTTTTCTAACTGATTATCTAATAGCCCTAATTCAACTTTAAAAAAATACTTTAAATACTGGTTAAATAATAAAATACAAACTTTTAAACAGGAAGTTTGAAGGGAAAGATATTTTTATCTTTATTTTTGTGAAACTACCAACTATAATTAACTATATTTTACATTTCAGGCATCAACTTTACATTATGGCTATATACAATTTTACTGTACAATGACTTTGAATACGACGCTAAGCTAACTCGAGGTGAATTTGATAATATTGCATTAACGAGAATGCACTCTATCAACAGTCACACCTAATGCATGGAGAACAAATTTCTTCTTGTGAATACATTTAAAATATTTTTTTCGCTCCTATACCTGTATTTTTACTGTAGAGCTCTTTTCTCTACGTTCATATTTGTGATTAAAATGTATTTTAGGTGTTTTATTTTCGTTGTATATTTTTGCGGTATTTGCGAAACTTTGTTAGAATAATTTACCGAGCCCGTTTGTGTGCCTTGACTAAAATAGGACGACAACCTACTAATTACTTAAAATTAGTTTGCATAAGTAATCTAAGTGCATATCATAATGCCACTTAGTTGAAAGTTATATAACAAGGGTGATTGCGAAACTCTTGATTTTATGTTCTGTCGGAGTTCAACAAATTTGGCCCAATATTGTTTATATTACTGGAAGTCAGATTTTCGTACAAACTTTATTGTATTTTTTCTGTTTAATTAAAAAATATGCAATTATTAATTTATCATATGAGTCATGGGCATAAAGAGCAATGTATTGGGCAAAGGACAAAATGCGGGTTCGCTCACTTTTCCATTTTGAATATTACGATAATTTTGCCGACAAAAGTAAATTGAATGCAATACTTTACATTAATTTGCTTACTCATCAAATATTATAAAACGAAAAACACTTACACACTTGCAAAACAAATTTATAAGAATAAAAAATATAAATGTTATTTAAAAAATTAGTGGCCTTAGAGAAAAGTTGTCTTAGTTGCTCAAACTAGCTTAAATATATTCTACGGTAATATAAAAAGTAAATAAAAGTAATTTTGCTAGCTTGTATTTTTACGTTCTGATTATGAATAGGTGTTTAACTTTAGTATACTCAATACGACATTATAAAACCCTGCGTCAAATAAATATTATTCGGGTAACGTACCGTCCTTATAATTGTCTTGGGATGATTTATTATTAAAAGACTATTGGAGAAAAAGGAGATAATGGATATTTTTATTATTCTGACACTTCCGTTATGAAGTCTCCATTTAAAGCGCTTTAATCAATCATTCGGAATTACTATGGCTTTATCTTTCCGAAATTTATGTTTCTATGTTTGAGGCTGTATTAAGGCGCAATTACTGCTCGTTTTCAACTATGACAAATTGTGTTAAAATACAAGAGCAGATAGAATCTTAAAACGTGTTAAAACTGCATTTTCACTTGACCTCTGAAATATCAGGTAAAAAATATTTTTGCTTTAGTACAATTTTCTGTTTTAAATATAGTTTTATATGTTCCTTTAATGGATTTCAATTCTGCATTTCCTCTTTCAGTACTTGTTTTATGTTTTGTCATTGTTGGTCTATAGTGATACGATAATTATCCCTGTATCTTAATTCGTTTAATTTGTCGTTTATGTTCTTCTCACCATTCTTGTACACTACATTGCCCTTCACTATTCTACTGTCCATACGTTCCTTAGTTGTTCCTCGACCGTTACCGGCATATATCCCCAATAATGTTGTGTTGGTACTAGGGATGGTCAGTATTTAACGTAACCGCTAAAATAACATTCTTACAAACGTGTAACCTGAAACCGTAGTTCCAGCTAGCAGATTTAACCGGTTGTTTTTGGAACCGTCTCATAAACCCGAAAAAGCCGTTGGCAACCGCACAGAACCGATGCGACACCGTCGCACATCTATCTATCTGCAGCCGTTTGCCAATTTAAACCGTTCTTTTTGGAACCGTCTCATAAAACCAAAACAGTTGAGCGCACTTCGACCCAACTGCAGCCGTTTGCCGATTAAAAAGTTGTTTTTGGAACCTTCTCATAAAACCGTAACGGCGATGCGCACCAGCACAGAACCGATGCGACAACGTCAAGCGATCTATCCAGCTGCAGCGGTTTGCCGACTTAAACCGTTCTTTTTGGAACGGTTTCATAAAATCTAAACAGTTGTGCGCCGTTCGCACTAGCTGCAGCCGTTTGCCGATTTAAACGTTTTTTTTGGAACCGTCTTATAAACCTGAAAAAGTGGTTCGCGTCAGTACAGAACAGATGCGGCATCGTTGAGCGCCGTTTCAGTAACCATTTGCCAACGGAAAATATGTATAGTGGCGTGTTGCCTTGATTATTGTGTTTATCACTTTTCGCTTATAAGAATTACTGTTCAGTTCTCCAGAATCCATAATCGTTCAGATATGGATCAGATATTAATTCAGCATTTTTAGTCTATAAGTATTTAGTTTTCTGACGTTCTGTAATAGATCTTAAAAAAAGGGATTTCTCTCATTAATAAACTTAGCTCGAGATGCATATGCCTATAATCAGCAAACTAAGCAGAATCTACACTTGCATATGAGCTATGACCAGATTTAGAGTCATAACATAAATTCCATCACTGTTGAAATGTAAAATAATAAACGTTGTAAGCAAAATGTGCACCTGCATTTAAGCAAGCTTGCCATTTTTAGATGTAAAGTCAATCACAAGATGAAATAAAAATTAGCTATTCAGGATGATTTAAAATTGGCGTCATTCCTCTGGAGGTATTGTCTGGCGCTGTTATAGGAGTACAGAAAAAATAGTAAAATAAATTAATTGTTATTAAAATCTGAGAAATTTGCAAAAAACTATATCAGAAATACGGCAGCAATGTTTTCAAGGTCATATGCCTAATTAACATTGCGCAAATACCTGTGGCTTCGTAATTATTTAAAACTCCGGTAACCATGGAATTATACAGACTGACAATAAGATAGACAAAGATAAACGGTAAATTCAACAAGATTTGTTCACGAAATGTCAAACTGTTCTCATAACCTCGAATATTGGTGTTTAAAAATAAACCATACAACACCAAACATTTGAATGGTTAACTCCAAACAAGCTAGTGCCTGTGTAATCTCCTTATTATCCACTCTTATCAAGGAGATTCTCGTATTCAGTTAATTAACTCCTGCTCCATTAGTATCTGCTTGTGCTGTGTGTATCGTACAAACGTGGTAGGAATGTAGCCCTTCGTCGATATTTATTTGGTGCTTGGGAAAGTGTTGAGTATTCCAATATGCTACCAATTAAACATGGAACCATTTGAAAATAATGGTTAATAACAAAGTTGAAATTCGATCTTCAACTGTTAATATCTTCTAGAAATTTTGGAAAAAAAAATTTTCAATATTTTTCTCGTACTCCCCAAGGGAGCCTCTATCACGCCTTAAAAGGAATGACGCCAATTTTGAATCACACTTTATCGGCGTTGTAAGGTCGACATAATTTTTTAAAGTATTTTTTGGTGGTACCTAAATTAATTCGGGCAATACTTCGAACTCAGTAAAAATCGTCTGCAAATAAAAATATTTTTAAACCTTAATTCATTTTTAAGTGAAAATTTGATTTTTAAACATTTTTGCAAATAGCGTATATTTATTTAATCAGTTTTTATTTATATATTTTATCTAGTTTATTATCAGTTCTTTCGTTCTTTAAGCAGGTACTTCTGACCCATATTTTGTTTTTGATTTTAGAATATTTTATTTTATCTAAGAGCTTTAGTTATTCTTCTAATAAACTAAATCATTATGTGTCATTACTATTTCTACCATCATCATCATTATCATTGCGCACGTTTAATGAAATATTTAAAAAGTCACATGTTTCTTTTGGAACCGCATTTTGAACCTATTACCAACGTGAAACTGGAACGTTGTAACCTTCTTACAGAAAAATACCGTTCATCTGACCTCTAGTTGGTACCCAGAATTTTAAAATTCATCTTTATAATTCTTTCACTAATTGCTTGCTAGGCAAACTTTCTTAGTTTTCTGTGTGTTACACACCTCGTTTAGCTTTTTCGTCCATCGACACCTACTATATAAATGGTACCACATTCCCAACTTTTGGCACAGTTTACTTTATTATTTGTGTTTTTGTAAGGTTTTCCAATTCAAATATTCTATAAATTATCTGATAGACACGGTTGGGAATCGAACCATATCAGACATGATATCAATTAGCACCCCTTGTTTGCTTTCTGGTGGTTGGCAGAAAAAACGAGTTTACTTGCAAATTTTCGATAAGAACACTGAGCAAAATTATGAAACCATTGCCTCAAAGACCGTCTGAATTTGTATTTTTCGTTTCGAAAACAGTTTTGTTTTAAGTTAATAATGCTGCAGAATTATAAATAGTTATAGTACAAAATGGACAACTTGCCATGTGTCAGGAGAGTTTAGTCAAGTGGACGTTGATAACAAAATGGGAATGTAACCCTATGTCTGCGTCAGTGCCAGTATGAAAAATTGCAAGTCGTATCGCTTGACGCTGAGGGAAACACATTATTTGATTCACGAACCAGAAAACCAAACTATACACAGAGGTAATTATTCATCGGCGAGCACTCCAATTTAACAAGAACGTTCTGTCTCAAACTTTCCTGACGTGCAGTCTTGACATATTTCATAGGGTGCCAACATCTGCGATGAACTGAGTGTTTGCGTAACACCCTAATTGTCGTTAGGATAAGCGACACCGGGTAATTACAACGTCACCCTTTGACTGTGGAAATATTCTTAGTTTTAGGTCTCGAAACAGTCTCTGGCATTCGAACAATTGCTTAATCCATTTGCCCTAACGGCTTTAATTAAAGCTTAGTGAAGCGAATTCTACAGTTTTTATGGGCCTATTTCAACGTAATTGTGCAGTAAACAAGAACAGGAATGAAATTTTCACTAATAAGGCGGTTTGGATTTAAATTCGAATTCGATGCCATTTGGAATCGCCTTCAAATGCTTTGTTATCATTTTTTGAACAATATTTTCATTTAACAAAATTTTAATAGCCATAAAAAGAAATATTGAAAGTGTTCAATGAACATAGTTGCTCGTTTATAAAAAGTTGGGTTCGTATACAAACACTTACGGTATTCAAAATTTTCTTGGGTTGCTGCTTTAAAGTTGGATCGGTATTAGGATCAAGTGTCACGTCTTTTTGACGGCTGTTATAAACCAATATACCACATGTACGGCGCGAAATGTGACGTTTTGATCACGTGATCTAATGTGGAATGGCTCGAAATTAGCTCTCTTCTGTTTTTGACGTAAATTGAATGTTAGCATCTGCCCCTTGAAGCTTTTTGTCTATTTCGCTGTTGACCTATTACTGACCGACGTTTGTATAAAAAGCAATTGCTTATCGACGTGTTCGCTGTCTTGTAGCTCTTTACTTACAGATGTCTGATTTGAAATTAACATCGCAAAGAGTAAGCTTTATCGATTTCATACCTAGCCGGTATCATCAAATGTTGTTGTTTTTTAAACAAAAATTGTAAAAGGTTTCTCTATACGCTGTAGGGTACTGCAGTATATAACTTAAATCATTATAACAATTCTGAAAGAATTCAGTAAATCATGTAAGAATTTAAGTTGATTGCCAACTAAAGAAATTCCGAAATTCATCTGAAATTAGAGGACAAATGACAGAAATAAAAAATATATTTTTTTATGTATTACTGGAAGCTGTTGGGCGGCAAGGAAAAGAAGAATAAAAGAAGAATTGTTAAAGTGATAACCAAAAATGTTGTTCAAAGGTTTTCCTTTTTGTTTGGTAAAACGAGAAATAAATGCAAAAACACCGAAATCGAGTGAGATTTACACATGGTTTAAAAGTCGCTTCCCCTTCTTTAACTTTATGCACATATTTTCTACTAGATATTTTAGAAACTGAATGAAAAAAACAAAACCGAAATTTTCTTTAAATATCAACAGCCGCACAGTGGAGTATTTGATATTAATTTCTGATAGAAATTGTTTTTTACTCAGATATTACTTAAAAACGCTTT